GTGATTTTTTCGTTTGGCGCGAAAGTGAGGTTATATTACTTGGCAGGAAGGTGATTTTTTCGTCTGGCGCGAAAATAAATGTGAGGTTATGTTACTTGGCGGGAAGGAGAAGTTTTTTCGTTTAGCACGAAAGTGAGGTTATGTTTCTTGGCGGGAAGGTGAAGTTTTTTTCGTTTGGCGGGAACCTACGTATGCAATACGTAAAGTGAGGTTAGATGTTTGGCGCGAAAACAAAAGTGAGGTTAGACCACGTGGGACACCAGAGGGCGACCACGTGGGACAAAAGGGGGCATGGCCTAGGGGGAAGGGTGGGGATGAAATGCTGCTCTCTGATTGGTGGCCGCAAGAGCTGCTTTTCCTACTCTTGTACTCTCCTAAAGGCCTGCATTGGTTTGTAAACGTAGAAAATAAGGGCGTGGTATCCCGCGGGTGTATTGGTATTGGTCTTATTGTGTGGAGTACCTACTCAAGTTGCCGCCGGCGATAGGCATTGTTGAACTCCCTGCGGAAGTTACAATTGTCAATCAAAAGCAGCGAATTGAAGCTGGTATTGTGCTGCTAAAGATCGTCTACTCGTCTAACGATGCCAATAGAGCTGCTAGCTCACTTGGGACATGAGTTGGTGGTAACTTATAAACATTCGATCATCATTTTTTATCTTTTTGGTTCGTAGTTAAACTTGCAAGACACTCTCTACAGAACAAAAAAATAGTTTATTAGATAACTTACTAAAAGTAAGTTTTTCTTACATTTTAACCAAGGGACCATCATGACGTAGTTTACATTCATTTAAATTATTAGACTTTGATCCAAACTTAGATGTAAATTGTTCTACTGTTCTTAGAAATATTAACCCATTGGAGACCTAATAAGCACATCACAAGCTGCCCCCTATGGACCCTATTAAATTCCAGCAAAATGTAAGGTTTTAATTAAAAGCCTATAACACTCTTGTTTTTCAACCAAATGTGGTTTATATTATATTTTTCTTAATCCTTATAAAATTCTCTATACCTTACAATGCTTTTTAACATTTATTTCAGAATTTTTTTTTATTTATTAATATAATACTCACAAATTTATAAAAATTTATATACAATTTTGAAAGTAAGCCATTTTTTTCATTCATAAAAATGTTAAAATGCTTTAACTTTTATATTTTTGTATAGAATATTTAATTTTCTACATAGAAACCTTTGATTTAATTAAATACAATATTTAGTTTTTTTTTTACATAATATTTCCTAAAACGCTAAAAGTGGTAAAATGTTGGCAAAAACACGCCCACTTGTCTTTTTTAAATTTCTGTAGGCCTACATCTCTTGGTTATCAAGAATAAACATAGCCAAGTTTCTACAAAATGTAGCCCACAGTTTTAGGTAGGCCTATGTATTTAATTGGATTTCTTGGTATGTAAAGTAAACCTTCAACTAAAACACTTTCCGAAAAATTTTTCGTCTTCTGTAATAGAACAACAACTAAAAACTAACAAAACACTATTGAAAAAACTGACACATTGTTTTATTCGTCATCAAATCCAATATAAACACACGTATTATTTGAAAACGTAGACACAAGCAATGTTTACAAACATGATAACACAATTTTGTTGTTATAATTGTGACAGCTGTGTAATACGCCGTCACTAAGCTAGCGACGTAGTGACCAACAGCTGCGAACAAAATAGGTCCGTATTACGCAATCAACATAAATATTACGGCATATAATAATTAACTTTAAATAGCTTTTTTATCAAATTTGATGTTTTATATAGCCCTAAAAGTTGTAAAAAGCTACAAAAATAATTTTAAATGCAAGTAAAAAGAATAACAATAAAGTATGTCGTCATCACGAGATAGCTCGTGATGGTGGTTTTGGGCCACTTGAATCCATCACGAGTATACTCGTGATAGGTCGCCAATGGGTTAACCTAGTAACATTTTTTTATTCATATGTGTATTGAAGAGAACCTTCGACCATATCTACTACTCTTTGATGGTCTTTCAGCCATTTTGCTATTATTGTTTCTGATTGTTTTGGGTTGAACATTGAATATTTTCAATTTTAAGAAATGATTGTTTAGCTTCTGTACCTTCTTAAATATATTGTAGAAAATGTAATACATTTTTTTCATCAATGACCACATGTTTCAAAGATCCTGTAAAGACTAATAAATGAAGATCTCTCAACCTGAAAACCTAATCAATATTCATTTAAAAAACGTATCAACAACTTCCATCAATTCCTGTAACCAAAATTAATTAATGAATGCTTTTAGGTTGTCAACCCAACCACAAATTACTTTCTCAGACGTCTACACGATGAGAGGCTATTTAATCAGCTGCAGGAAGGGTGTTTTTACATCATTCAAGCAATTAGCCTAACAGCTTGGTTACCCGAACACCTGTGGTCAGGTGATATGTGGAGGCAAAAACCCTTACAACCCCCAAACCCAAACCTTCCAAAAACCGTTGGTAACTTTGCTGTTGTTTTAAAATTATACTGCCAATTCACATACATAGGTTACAATAAGATATAAAAATAAGAAATAAATTTCGTGATTTACTCTTTGGGTCATGTTTATGTCATATTCACTCAAAGTTTTATAAAACTGTAGTAACATAAAACTGTTACTATTAAATATTGATAAGACACTTTGTTTTGGACATTTTCTTATCAAGTTGTAATTTTTTTATGGTTTTCTTTCAATGAAAAATATTGTTAAAAAACGTCACATTTGTCATAGTTTAAACTATGTTTTTTTTATTTTCCACGCGCTTATATACAAAAATATTCCCGTTCTATCAAGCAAAAACAGTATACAAAAAACATTTTTACAGCTATAATTATATTTCATACTTGCTAGTTACTTTTGCTTTTTGTCATCACATTTTTGTAACTTCTCAACTTAATAATCCTCTGATCTTAGTAATGGAAATGTTAATAATAAAATATTTGGTAGATAGCAATATTGGATTTTTCTTTGTTTGAAGTTCATTGTTGGTGATGGTGAGTTAATGTTGTTCAAAGGTTTATTGCGGACATTTTGATTTTGATTTTGATTGGATTTTTATGTGAATCCTGCTTTATGGCAAATTAATTCCGACGGTAAAACTTTGTTGTCAATGCTTTTGCAAAGATTTAAACCACCTCGTCGTCTCCTTTTTAAATACGCTCCCTTCCGACAATTTCTTGAATTCCTACAATGCCATTTACATACTGAAAGGTACGATTCGAAATAACTCTCGAAACGTTACGAAGCGATTTAAACGTCACCTGCGGTTTCTTTGCGAGTTGACGATTTGACTTGTAAATCTAGTGCCGAGGGACTCCCTATACTCCTGTGGGGAGCGGTTAGGGGCGCTTTTTGGGGGAGGTAATGTATGAAATGCTCAGTCCCTTAGCTTAAGTCAACAGTTGCCGTTGAGAGGACCAAATTGATTGAGGGATTGCTATTGTCCCCGCCCCAAGTCTCAAGTCAGTTTTCCCCCAGAATCTACCGTTTTCCACGTGCGGTGTTTTGAGCACGTGAGTGGAAAATGTACAACATATTCTATTAGCTTCAATTTTCAGTTTGTTTTCAGATAGATACATTTGTTCCGACAATATTTACAACACAACAAACAACAACAATATTTTAGTTGTAGTTGTACTGACGTTTTCCAGTTATGTAACCCTGCATTTTGTAAAAAGATATTCTTGATTTCTGAACAATTATTATGTGTTATAGTTGTTCTATTGTATTACTGTTAATTTCAAACAATGTTAGCTTTTATATTTAAGTTAATTTACCTTAAAAATAGCAAAAACCACAAAACAATTCAGGTTATTTTTGCATACTAGCCTACTACGTGATTATGTTTTGTTACATTGAATTGTTAATACTTTACACCCGAGTTTTATAGTTCCTCTTATTTGAAATATTGCTTAACACTTTATAATAAATATTTTTGTACTGGTCAGCTTTACAATTAATTAATATCCATTATTTCAAACCGGCTAAATTATGTTATTTACGTAATCTTTGCAAAGATCTTCCTCCAAAAATTTGGGTTTTTACTATTCGTGATGAAAAATATCCGCAAAAGATACTTACACAATTAACATAAATTACCGTCATCAAAAGTGCACTTCAAAACGAAGAGCTGATTAACTATTTTGTAATTTTTGGTAAAATAGCGTTTAATCAATTCTAAAAATCTGGCAATTTCCGGAGGGTTATCTTAAAACAATTATATAATCGTTGCAAACGGAATTTATTGTGCAATCGACGCCGTGTCTCTTATGTTAGCAATACCAGCAAAACTCTTAAACAGGTGATTTGCATGACAATCATTGTTTGGTATAATAAGAAAAATATGTACATAGAATGAAATTAATCAGTCTTAATTAGGCTAATTTTTAAAGTGCTAAACAATGTTGAATTGCTGTCACAGACCTTAGTGAAGCTGAAGAGATGTTTGGTTTGGGGTACCCCACCTGACTTGAAGCACTGGGCAATGGCGGCGTCGACGAGGACTGTCCATGTACACGTTGACCTACTTGCACTATTACAATTGTCCGTTAAATAAACAAAAAATAATTTCTTCTTGGGATAAAAACAAAACTATTGTCACTTCTATTAGCACTGTACAGACTGATTAATTTAAAGAAAAAAAAGGTAAAAATTGCGGGATGTTGAAAAGATGATGCGGATATACGATAGTAAATATGGTGATAGTTCAGCGGCGGACGACAGTGGACTGCGTCGTTTGGAAAGATATCAGTGTTGAGGGCAAAGGCCGCATACCTTCGTTAGCGGCTGAATAGCGGAAAATTACTTGGGCTAGGTTTTGTTTGAAACGGAAGAATATAAATATGGACTCGATTTAAAAATCATGAAACCTAAAATATCCAACATATCGCCCCCCTTGAACCAACCTGGTTCAATGAAAAAACTGAAAAATGGGAAAAGACAAATGAAAATAAATTGAAAGGGGGTGAAAGGGAATGCTTAGGAATTAATTGGTAGGAAGAAGGGAAACTTTGACGGTTGGCCGACTGAAGTTCCCTGTAGCGGTGCGTAGATGGACCACTCGTACAATTCCGTCTGCTCCTGGAGATACTGCGGTGATTCTTGCAAGTTTCCATTGTAGGGGAGGAGTGTTAGGCTCATGAATAACAACAAGGTCACCAATCTTGAGGTTCTCTGTTTTACTCGTCCACTTAGAGTGATGCTGTAGAGTATGCAGATACTCTTGGGACCATCGAGTCCAGATGTGTTGAGAGAATGCCTGAACTAATTGCCATCTCCTCAAGCGGTTACAAGAAGTTTCATCATATTGAGGTTCAACCATGGATTTCAGAGGTCCACCAGTTAAAAAGTGTCCTGGGGTTAGAGACTCTAAGTCATTCGGATCTCCAGAGAGAGGGGTAAGCGGTCTTGAATTTAATATTGCTTCGACACGTGACACGAGAGTTATGAATTCTTCATAAGTCAGGATTTGGCCACCGATTACTCTATGAAGGTGATGCTTAGCACTCCTAACAGCTCGTTCCCACAAGCCACCTTGATGAGGCGCGTGTGGAGGCAGAAATTTGAAAGAAATGTTGTTTTCTTCAGCAAAACGGTGAGTTACTGGATTGCAAAGGAGGTTGTTAAAACATTTGTGAAGTGCAGCAGCTGCTCCGACAAAGTTGGTTCCACAATCACTATGAATTTCCTTCACTGAACCACGTCTGGAAATAAAACGTGTAAGAGCTGCTATATAAGCTTCTGAGGACAAATCCGACACAACTTCTAAGTGTACGGCTTTCGTTGCAAAGCAGACAAATAGACAAAGATAAACTTTAATAGGCTGAAGCCTTTTTAGGACATACAATTTCACTGTAAATGGTCCGGCATAGTCGACTCCAGTAACATTAAAAGGTCGGGTTGCTACCACTCTTGGGGAAGGTAAGTCTCCCATCAATGGTGTGTTTGGCTTAGGTTTCATTCTGAAACATCTCAGGCGTTTAAAAATCCTGGAGCGTATGATACTACGAGCAGAAAGTATCCAATATTTCTCACGAAGAACAGCTTGGAGTTGTGTTGGTCCACAGTGAAGAAAGATGCGATGATGATAATCAATTATCAAATTTACAACAAAATGATCCTTTGGTAAGATAATTTGATGCTTGGCGCTGTACGGCAACTCAGAATGTTTCAGTCGTCCTCCAACTCTTAACAAACCTTCATCATCCATAAACGGTGAAAGGCGTTGAATGCGAGAAGAACACACATTCTTCTTTGACAGGGAATTAATATCCTCAGAGAAACTCTCTCTTTGAACAAGCCAACAAATCCGTTTGTTCGATACTTCTAACTCTTCAAGTGTGAGAGAATGAGTAATCCTTTGCTTAGTTTTCAAGCAGGAAATAAAACGTAAAACGTAGCCCATGACATGAAGTAGTTTAGTCCATGAAGAGAATTTATTGATAAACTTCAGATCTTGATCTTCAGCTATCGTAAGAAGATTTAGTGTTGTGGTTTTAATTTCTGGGAGTTCCTCTTCGGGAAGATGACTCGATGGTTGAGGCCATGAATCAGATGAACTCTTAAGCCATGTGGGTCCAGACCACCAGAGCTTGTTATGAATAAGAAGAGATGGGGTTAATCCTCTAGAGGCAACATCAGCGGGGTTTTCAAGAGTAGAAATGTGTTTCCATATGCAGGAAGGGGTCAATTCTTGAATCTGTGCAACACGATTTGCAACATATAACTTCAAACGATGAGAAGGGGTGTGAATCCATGAAAGAGCCACAGTGGAGTCACTCCAAGCGGTAACAGAATCTATCTTGTAGCGATCTGAGAGTTGATCAACACAGTAGTGTAACAGTTTGGCTAAAATATGTGCTCCGCACAGTTCAAGGCGAGGAATCGTGATACGTTTCAGGGGTGCCACACGTGACTTGGCTATTAATAAGTTGACATATATACTGCCTTGCGGGTTCTCAGTTCGTAGATAAACACATCCAGCAAAACCGAGTTCACTTGCATCTGAAAATCCATGCAACTGAATATTAACCGCATCACTCAGAGATATGTACCTGCCAATCTCCAAATTTTCAATCTCAGGAAGTTCGTTGACAAAAGTTGACCATCTGTCGATAATATCACTAGGAAGAGTATTATCCCAATCTAGGCCTAGTGACCATATATGCTGCAAGTAGTTATGTATTCACCGGTTCTAGCGCAGGAGGAGGAAGAGAGCCCTGAAATAGGGTACAGTCCTAGAACGGGATAAAAGACCTAGAATAGGACAAAGTCCCAGAACGGGATAAAAGACCTAGAATAGGATAAAGTCCCAGAACGGGATAAAAGACCTAGAACGGGGTACAGTCCCAGAACGGTGTCCTCAAAGCCCGACACTCAGAGAGCGGTCTTCTGCAGTTCCTTTTCATAGAATCCGCCTATAATTTCTTCGCCATTTTGATCGGCGATCCTATAAGTAACCGGTCTAGTGTTTAGAATTCGTGCTATTGTAAATATCTCTGAAGTCCAGTTTTGTTTATATTTATTCGCAAACACATCTTTTTTCGTCGTGATACGAACTCTATCACCGAGGTCGAACTTGCTGTTTTTACGAATTTTGTGTTCGCGCTCAATGTACATTTTTAATAGATCAGCCTCGTTATCTTTGTTGACCTCTACTGGTCTCATTTTAATAGTGTGGTGATAATCGTGTTGGTTATACTCGTCTGTGACTTCTTGTAGTATATCGTACCACTTGTGGGATTGTCGGACTTGGAATTTCACTTTAAGTTTCTCATTCAATGTCCTATGATATCTTTCAATTATTGCGGACTTCTCTTCACTCTCTGTATGGTATAGTTTGATATTATGCCTCCTCAACATGTTGTTGAACGGTTTGTTTTTAAACTCTGTACCTTTGTCGGTATGTAAAAGCTTCGGTGCTTCATGGCCATCACTGTTTGCTCTTTTTATAATCTTCTCGAAAGCCGTTGTCAAGGACAACGAGCCATACTCGAGTTTCAGAGACTGCAGAGGAACACCAGGCTGGGCTTTTAGCTGATTCGATCAGGCATACCTCCCATAGAGAATCTGAAACCCCCAATGAACGCCATGTTAGGCTTTTAGTTGATTTAATCAGGCACAGCTCACATAGAACCTCAGAGACATCCGATGAACGTAACATTCTAGTACCAGCCAACACAAGTAGAACTGCGTCACACAGAACTGCTGAAACACCTGAAGAGTACAAATAGTAGAATTGCATCACAAAGAGCTGCTGAAACGTCTGATGAATAGCATCAGGCTGGGCTGGTGGCCAACAATAACAGAATGGCTTTACAAAGAGCTGCACAAGCACAAGAGGAAACCCCTGCTATTATACAGGACGACGGAGATAAGACTTCATGAGTATGATGTGGAACCCATTTAATGGTATAGTTTTTCGATATGATCTGTTCATTGATTATATCAATCACAGTTTTTTTGTATAGGCAGAATGAGCTAAACATGCAGATATTGTGATGCAGTAAAATGGAAGCTAATAGGGATATGTGTTGTTCTAATGGAAAAGTTAGGCTTCCTTTAACTGCTGAGCCAATTGAGCTACTAAAGACCCTTGTCATTGGAGAAACAGCAGAATTCGGGGGTTTTTATACAAAATTTGAAAATATAACTCATGCTTCCAAATGACCTTATTTGGTGCCTTTGGCCAAGTTGTATAACATGACTATCCCACAACGTTCACTGTGCAGGGGTAAATATACCATAGGATTGGCTTATTACTCAACCCGATCAGCCTCGTGGCTTCCTACAAATATTTTTCATTGGTGATCGACAAGCTGAGGCGGTGCTGTGACAACATTCCCGGTTTATCCTAAAACATAGTACAAAGCCTTCAACGCATTCTTTATGACAACAATGTTTTAATTGTGTCCTTTAAAACTGCATTAGATCAGTGGCCGTCAGATGATTTTAAAGCCATTATGTGTGCTGACTGCCGTCCAGCTGGGGAGCATGAGTGATGATTCAACGCTCCGACTGTTGATGAAGTGGCCATTGTTGGCAATAAGTTTCACTCACGAGATATTGTGCTGCGTCAAAGAGATGACACTTTGGTTAGATTATCTGAAACTCATTGCTTCTATGATGTTTTGTAATACCCTCTCATATTTTAGAGTGATCAGGAAAGCTACCATTTCAACATTCAACAGAGTAATGCCACAACCAATCATCCTACAACTAAAAAGCGACTGCAATACAGTTTTATGTGTCATAATGGTTTGTCAAAACAACTTCAACCCAATCATTCACTACAGATAACTGTTTAGTCGGTTTATTGTAGACATGTGTGTTAGAATTGAAACACCAACGATGAAACAGTATGCTCTAATGATCTTGGTCAAATAGTGATCTTACCGCTTTATCTTTAAGCTTTATTACCTCACCACGCTATCTTAGTGAACGAGCACAAGATGCTCTCATGTTAGAAACTATGCGTGTCCTGACCTGTTTATAACTATGGTGTGCAAATCAAAATGGGAAGGAACTGTTCAGGAGCTACTGCCTAGTCAGAAAGCAACTGATAGACATAACATAGTAGCAAGGGCTTTCAAACAAAAAGTTACAGGTTTTGTTGCTATAATTGACAAAGGTTTGGTTCAGTGCTTGATGTACACATGTGGGTGGTAAAAACGTGGACTCCCACATATCCATATGCTTTGGTGGCTGGTTGATAAGATCCAACCACAACAAATTGATGATGCCGTACAAGCTGAGATACCTGATGACACTATTCCCAATCTTCATGTGATTGTGATCAAACATATGGTTCACGGGCCTTGTGGTGCTATCAATCCTAGGCCACCTTGCAAGAAAGACGGAAAGTGTACAAAGATATATCCCAGATAGATGATGACTGAGATACCAGCTATAATGGGTACCCTTTGTACAGAAAGTGATCAACAAATTACGGTGGACTCTGAAATAAATGTATCAGGACGAGGATCTGTGGATATTGACAACCATTGAATTGTACCATACAACCCAGTTCAAGATTTTCAACGCCTAACGTGGAGTACACTGCAGTTCAGTGAAGAGTATAAAATACATATGCAAATATGTAAACAAGGGAAGTGGCCGAGCTGATTTCTATCTGTTGAGGGAGGCTGCACCAGAGATGAGGTAACTCTTTACCAGCCAGGACGTTACTTGAGTTCTAACGAGGCAGCATGGTGTATCTTTGGGTTTCCAGTGAAAGACACCCCACTGTTACTCATCTGAGTACCTTGAGAACTTCCAGGGGGGGTTTACTTCAATGACAACAGCATTACGTTTTACAAAACCCAAGAGACACTATATTTACTGAATTCTTTGAGCTGTGTACTAATGATGAATTTGCTAGGACCTTTACAATGAAGTACCCCACTACTACACCTGGAACGCTTCACAAAAAGAGTTCCAGTGTCGTGGTATTGGCTTTCCAGTGGAGAATCAGTCTGATTTAAATTACTCAGAAGTGCTAGAACGAGTACCACGGTTCATCCCGTTAACTTAGAGTGCTACTGTTTATGTTTGCTACTTCACAGTGTACGTGGTCCTACCTCGAGCACTTAAGGACTGTTGAAAGTCATGCAATCCATATAGAGAAGTGTGTGAAGCCCATTGTTTGCTCGATCGTGATGACCGCTGGGAATCCACAATGCATGATGCTGTTTTGACTCGCTCTCCACAACGTATCAGACATCAACTCGATCCTGGCGAGCACCTGTGGGCTGTCAAACCCCTTAGAACTTTGGGAAAGCAGACGACATGGCTGAAGACATATTGGTGTGTTTTAGTTGAGAAGTTCCAGGTACACTTTATAATGAGGTAGTTTACAATGAAGCGTTACTGGCAATTGCATCTCTGGTTTTGGCCATGTGTGGTAGAGATTTGAGCTAATTTGGCCTTCCCGCACCTCAACAAGAGAGCAACGTCAATACAGAAGCTCTCAAAGAGATGTCATACAATACTACTGACCTACAGAACCATATTTTAAGAAATTTACCAGAACTTTTACCGGAACAACTTGATGTGTTTTGTTACAAACAGAATTGCTCAGCAAAAAGGAACCATAGTTTTCTTGATGAGAGGGTTGGTTGTTTTATTGGCTTTAGATTTCAGGCAAACCCTTCCAGTCCTCGAGAAACACCCGCAGATGAAATAAGTACCTGCACTAAAAAGTCTGATTAGTGGAGTTACGTTGAGGAAAAGAATTTGATACAGAACATAAGAGAGATTCTTCACAACGAACACGATGCTGAATTGTTTTCTTCTGATTTATTAAATATCGGAAATGGACAGATATCTGTTGATAGCCAACAAAGAATCTCATTTCCTCTAAACTTTGCCAACATGGTTGATTCATCGGAGGAACTACTAATGAAAGTATTTCCATCAGTTACTGAGTTCATTTGTCCAGTGAATGGCTGTGTGAAAGAGCTATACTTGCCCCCAAAAAGTACACTGGTAATACTATCAACAGCAAGATAGTTACAGCAATTCCAGGTTACACATCAGAGTATCTGTCTATTGACACTGTGTTAGAAGAGGATGCGGCCGTTCAATATCCAGTAGAGTTTCTCAACACCTTGGAGTTTCCAGGTGTCCCTCCTCAAAAAATTGAATTGAAAGTGGGGGTACCTGTAATGCTACTGAGCAATTTGGAACCTCCGCGATTCTGCAATGGTACCCGACTTACTCCGTTGAAACAAAACGTTATTGAAGCCCAGGCATGTGCAAAAGGCAATACAGTTTTCATGCCAAGAATTCCAATCATTCCAACACACTTAACGTTTACATTTAAATGGCTTTAATTTTCACTGAAGATGACCTCTGCCATGATAATAAATAAAGCACAAGACCAAACTCTTTAAGTAGCCGGCTTATATTTAGAAAACTTCTTGATTAGCATTGTATGTGTTATTTTAAGTGTTACAAGACGTTTCTTTTATTTACTTACTGTACATCTAGAAAATCTTCTTATGGCCAACTGTACGCGGCATGCTCACGTGTATCGTGCAGCAGAGATTTGTACACATACACACCAGACAACAAAGCTGAAAACATTGTTTATAAAAACGTTCTGTAATAATTGTTGCAAAGTAATCTCAACCCCATTGTAATCTGAAACTGCACAAATTAAAAGCCTTTTGAACAAACCACTCTTTCATTTAACTTTTAGCTACCCCAGAATTTGGTACATTAACCTCCGCACTTAAATTCAATATCGCCCGCAGTGAAGTGGGGGTATTTTAGCTAGCTTCAAAGAGCGAATTTGAAAATTGAAAAGCCTAACTATGCCAGTATTGATTGATTGTATGGATTCAATTAGTAAGCCCCCAAAACTGTGATCATAATAATTAAAATGTAAGAATGTTAAAAGTGATATGGTTTCTTAACTAGGCTATGCTATTTCTTGCTTTACAAGAGAATAAAAATTGTTTATAGTTCTAGAGTTAAGGAAGCGAAAAATTCGGCAATGTTAATAGGATAGCTGCTGCTCTCAACACTTACAAAGCAGCATGGGAGCTGGTCAACGAGTACAGAAAACCCAAGTAATTGCCCAGGAAATAATACACTAACAAGTTGGACCGAGGTGTGTGAAAACCATATCCTAGGGTCAGTGAAAGGTTTTAGGGACTCCGAAAGTTGGGATATCAATGGTCTGCCATGCTCTATTCGTAAGGACACAGTTGATGGATAATCATGCCACCGACTAAACTTGTTAACCTCTGCTTGACTAAGGGAATCTTTCCTGACAGCCTAAAGATAGCTAGGACTATCCTCATATTCAAGAAGGCTGATCCCTCTTACACGACAAATTATAGACCTATCTCTATCTTGCCAGTCTTCTCTGAGATGCTGGAGACCAAAAGACAATTGTTGGCATATTTTGAAAACAACCAACCATTCCCAAATGATCATCATGGCTTTAGGCACATCCTCTGCTCTCTTGAAACTTATCGGTGCTATTACAGATGCTTTCGAGGATAACGAGTCGGTCCTTTTGAGACTCTGTGACCTGAGCAAGGCCTTCGATGTGGTTTCACATCACATACTGTTGGCCAAGCTAACGAGGCACGGTATTGGAGGCACAGTTTTGAACACCTTAAGCAGCACCTCAGTAGCTACTTGACAGACCGAAAGCAGCTAGTTCTGGTGAACGTAAATGGGTAAACCTTATTGTTTGCCGACGATACCACCCTGTTCAATAGGGAAAGACCATTGAGCGATTGATAGATCTACAAAAAACGCTGCATACACACGTATTTGAAAAATATTACGTATATATAGCGATTATTGTTAGATCTACAAAAAACGTGCATACACACGGATTTGAAAAAAATTACGTATATATAGCGATTATTGTTAGATCTACAAAAAACGCTGCATACACACGGATTTGAAAAATATTACGTATATATAGCGATTATTGTTAGATCTACAAAAAACGCTGCATACACACAGTTAGATTAGGCTAAGTTAGGTTAGGTTAAGACAGGTTACGATAAGTTAGGTTAAGTTAGGCTAGGCCAAGTTTAGGTTAGGAAAATCCGGCAACGCCATATAAGATAGCTGATGCGAAAGTGTAACTAGCTAAGTGTGTAAAGATAAGTGTAAGGCATATAAGATAGCTGATGCGAAAGTGTAACTAGCTAAGTGTGTAAAGATAAGTGTAAGGCGTTGCCGGATTTTCCTAACCTACGCCATATAAGATAGCTGATGCGAAAGTGAAACTAGCTAAGTGTGTAAAGATAAGTGTAAGGCGTTGCCGGATTTTCCTAACCTAACTTGGCCTAGCCTAACTTAACCTAACTTATCGTAACCTGTCTTAACCTAACCTAACTTAGCCTAATCTAACTGTGTGTATGCAGCGTTTTTTTGTAGATCTAACAATAATCGCTATATATACGTAATATTTTTCAAATCCGTGTGTATGCAGCGTTTTTTGTAGATCTAACAATAATCGCTATATATACGTAATTTTTTTCAAATCCGTGTGTATGCACGTTTTTTGTAGATCTAACAATAATCGCTATATATACGTAATATTTTTCAAATACGTGTGTATGCAGCGTTTTTTGTAGATCTATCA